AACCTACAGTAAATTAACTGCTAACAACTTCTATTTTTATCTCATTTCTACCATCCTATTATCAGCTACAAGCGCATTAAAACATAGCACATAACCTTATCTTATCTATTCATAAGCATTCATTAATTTACAGTTACTTAATTAGTAACGGCGTACCGTGACACTAACAGATGCAAGTTTTCTTCACCTACTCAGCTACCTTAGTCTTCACCGCTAGGTAATTAGTGCTACTTGTAGGATGCTGATTATGATTATTGTTTCATATCATACTAGATGCATTATGCTAATCAATACGGGTATTATTGTTGCACCTGATTCTATACTATTAATCCACATTGAATAGCTGCTTCATTACTCTCAATATATAGCAGTCCTGTAGATTATACAAGAATTATTATAATTCCGATTGTATCAACAGTTCACTAATTTTAAATGGTTATATGATACTGATATTGGGTATCAATATGTCATCTTTATTTCACAGCAGTAACTGTAAATTAGCTATTAAATATTTTACATTTGTTGTATAGTACATGTAGCCATAGCGTACTCGTATGTACGAGTCTATGACAGTAAGTATATGGTATACGTATATATGTTATATACATATACATATACATGGATAAGCGTACTACCATAAAGATGGATACGTATATTCGTATATAGCAGCACGGTGCCATAGTAACTAGAATACTTGATTATGATTATAGAATTCTAGACATTCTATTGTCAATTGGCAATGAAATTTATGAATGTAAGTCCTCCAGTATTAAGATCTTTCTCAACCTTGAATACCAACTTTATTTTGGTCTACCATTACTAAATCCAAATTGAGATGTTGATAACATTTCGATCCTGTTGTTACGAAAAAACATTTGTTTATTAATATACTTACGCAAATCTGATTGTAAAAGACCATACATAACTGGATTAATGCATGGATAAGAGAATGCCAAAAATCGTAAGACGAAAAGTGCATCAATGATTTCAAGGTTAGGTCTAACTGCTCCGACATAAAGTGCGAAAAAGAAGATGACATATGGTAACCACGCGATGAGAAAAACGCCAACAATTATTGATAGATATTTAGCTGCTTTAATGTTAAGAAACCTGCGTTGAGAATTATCTTGATCTGCCAATACTTTAAGCTGCTTATTGGCAATCAAAAATATATGACTATAGGCAAAGACCATGCAAATAATTGGGACAAAAAATAATATTGAAAAGACTGCAATGAAATAACTTTCTTCTGCGGCTAAATTGTTGGAATTTACTAAAACGCAAGCTCCAGAGCTAAACTTGCGAAATGTTAATGGTGGAATAATAGCGATTGATAAAGGTAATACCCAGACCACACCAATGGAAATTGTGATAGCATAATTAGTAGCATGTTTCAAGTAGAAGAACGGGAATATAATTGCAATGTATTTATCTAAGCTTATCAAGCATAAATGAAGATTGATTACTATAGTGAAAAAGATACCAAGAAGCGCTGTTAAGCTGCAGTAGAACCAATTTTCAGAATTATTAATGATTGAACTTAACGCCCAACGAGGAAAAATATACATCGCTGACCAGAGTATACCTAAAACAGCCATACTAGCAATAAAGCTATTACTAGGTTTTCTTAAGTTCTTAATATATGAAATTAAAAATAAAAATGAACAGTTGGTGAGTAGAGTGAATATTGCCAAAACCAACCAAGCAATATTTTGACCATTTAAATCCAAACTTCTAGATCCAACTACTGAAGGACTTGTCGATGTATTTGCATTTGAGGCATTCCATGGCTGGGTTATGCTAAGCGTTGTTACATTAGGAACAGTTTTCGTTGATGTCATTTTAATAAAATTTCTTCTCTCGATATTATGTGTATAATGGAAAGGGTCTATTTTATATAATCTTATAGCGTAATATATTGCATAAGAAAAGCGTGGAATTTATAATTAACCAGAGGATAAAATCTATTGATAAAACATAAAACAATAGAATTCGGTATTAGTTAATATAATTTTACAAATTTAAATCAAAATTTTAAAAGTCGATAAGAGAAACCTAGAAAAGTTCTTTTTAATCTTAAGCCACTTATATCTGATTCATATTTTGCATGCTAATCAGTTAGTGTAAACTACACCGTGAAACTGTGAAGCACCCACCCATATACTATCGCAATAATATTGATCTATGATTGTCAAATGTGGGATAAGTGTGGGTAATAGATTTATATTACAGTATCAACCAAATACCAGATACTATAGCTGAAACATAATGTATCCATTCGCCGATGTTGTTGTTTACAGTTGTTAACGGTAAAATTCGTTTCAAATATTGTTTAGTATGAAAAAGCTTTAATGGTTATTTAGCATATTTCATAAAAAATTTATGACAGCTGGGTACATGCCAGCAAACATGGTCAATTATGAAACTTTACCAAAACGCCCTTTAAACGATTGATCATTAAGAAATATACTCTATATTTAGTTCTTATAATAAGAATCGATATTTTATATTAAAGTTATAAAACCCAATGTATTGATGTTTTGATGTTAATGGATCATATGATGTTAATTTATGAAGAATTAAATAACTGAGATTATGTGATTCTTAAAATAAGGATTAATAAAACCAATTAATTCCTAACTTTTAATTTATTCATTTCTTCAAGTATGATGAGAATTGGCTAAATAGCGAATTACTATATTTCAGAGCTCTTAAACTATTAATACCGATTAAAAAGAAGAGATAGAGTTTAGATTTTTACGGTATATAGTATTAGCAAAAATATGCGTACACTTTTGACAGAAAGTTCAATTAAAATTTGAATAGTAGAATTATACCAATAAATTTGCTACTTGGGGCTTAATGGAGATTGGGGTGGTAAATTTATTTGCTATTAGAAAGTTTTTGTAAAATCCCATAATAATAACATCGCCAACAGTTCGTGTTTTTTAAACTTATCTTTTTTAGGGTAAAATAGACCGTTTCCATGAATGCTAAACCCGATAGTCAAATTTATTCGTTCTCTATCATCCATAATATATGCATAGCAAATATTAAGCTACCTAAGCTAGTAAAGGCACGTCATTTAGGTTCTTGTAATATCAGTAGTATTTAGATCAATGTACATTTGTCACGAAACAGCTTTGCAGCAAGATAACGCAATATACGATCAATAAGTCAATTCCTTGAACCACGTATCAAGGAACGATATCTGAACTATCACGAACACTTTTGCTCTACTAGCAGACTACACAAAGACTTAAACGCCTCGTATTTTACGTTAAACACTAAGTTGGAGAAATTACTTTATTTCACGATATACTGCATTTATATACTACTCCTCAATAGTTCATGAGTCATAGTTTACAATTAATAGAATCATTTACTGAATTAGATATTAATTTTAGCTACTGCTCCCTTAATGCAGACAACAGTATTTACGAACATAGACATGTAATGACTAATACAGAATAGTCAGATTACGATATGTCCTCTCACGGAACATTTCCATGATAATTTAGAGTCTACCATAAGTAAATTACAATCACAATGATTCGAACTGTAAGCAGATGATTTGCATTCCTTATTATAACTATTAATTTCAGTATGTGTATAAGTGTCACTGTCATAAAAAGTCAGTGCTATATTAAAACACAGTATATCCAAATTAGAAGTTAACTAAATAAGGATAGTCTAATAGAATTATCCTAACATAGATATTTCTACTGTAATACAGTATAACACTGTAACAACATTGCACTATAAAGAATGCAGAATACTTTCGGTATTTATTATCTTGAAATAGTCGACTTATATTTCATAAGAGAACAGTATAAAGTATGCAGTACTTGGTCGATATCAATCATCAGTTAGCTAATGTTATTTTAATTGCAATTAAATTATGAACCTAGTCTTTCTATGAGTAGAGAATTATTAACTATCGACGTCAAGATCTTAAAGTATTTAAAAATTTGGTTGAAAACTTCAAAGACAATATGATCTGTTTTACTAACATATGAGTATCAGTATGGATTTGCAGTTACAGAGTATGACTGTAGTAGGGTGTTCTCACCAGAATTAATATGACATTTTAGTATTATCGAAAATAATCAATATACATAATGTTGATATTCTGTATTTAGTAGATATGATTTATAGTCTCATAAGAAAACCGAATAATTTTAAAGTTGTTTCATTGTTAATGAGCGGTA